TCTAAAGCCTACAGCTTCACAAGCTTTAGAGGGAGAGATTTCTCTAGGGAGAGCTGTTCTCTAGGGCAGTTTTGAGTAGGGCCTGTATCAGGGCTTGAAATCACATAAATGGTAAGGAATAAAACTAGGAGTTAGTAATCTAGAGGAAGGATTTTCTTATTACTACAGTTTCTATTTTGAATGAATTTTTTTCAGTATTTTACTTTGCACATTTAATCTAGTTTTTCTTTTTGTGATTCCCTTCATAATTAGTTTTTGGCTTAAGTAGGTATACTCACTTGTAATGCCCCTTTCAGGATAACTGACAACATTTTCAATTGCATAAATGTATAAAATATACACACATCAATTAAGGGAGAGGTTTCTTAAAAACTAAACCACTGTGTTTTATGCTATGTACACTTATTAGAATAATATTTTGTTAAAGATAAAGTAAGGCAAATTTTTATATATGACACAGAAAAAATATTTAAATAATCATCATCATTGGAAGTACTATAGCCAATAGGAATTGTTTTGTTGCAAGTCATTAATTTTGAAATGTCAGGTGGTGGATCCAAAAGTTACTGACTTCTTTGAATGTCAGAAAAATATGAAAAATATGAAATGATTTGTTCTAATTTTTTTCTGAGTTTCAGTTTGATTATATTTAAAGTGTGTATACACCTTTGCGCTGTTGATTTTCCTTGGTAGCTTGAGTTCACACCAATTTTCCTTAACTCATTTTATATTCCTTCAATGTCTGCCACCTAATCTTACATATGTATTACTGATTTTTTTCTGCAGCTCTCTATATGCATCAAAACCTGATAATATTATAGTCACTGGATCCTAGATTTTCTGTAGCTTCAACCTTATTTATCACTCATGGCTCATTTCTAACATCTAAACCATATGCCTTCTGAATAAAAACAAATTCTTTGACTGGATTTTGCATGCAATATTTGCCCTGACTCTATATCAGATAGGATTTCGCATGAAATATGAGAAGGAAAATATTGATAATCATTGTTAATGGACTGTGAAGACATTTTCATACTAGCTCAGGGCTGTAAGTACTTTGCTGTAAAAATGATATTGTTAGATATGCTATTGGTTTATAGAAAATTGATTGGTGAATCAATTTCCTAACATGAATAGTTGGGGGACAATAGTCAGAATATAAAAAGGTTTGGTTATTTGAGTATAGGGCTCATCCAAATCTTTTTCCAAAAGACAAATAAATGCATAATATTAAACCATATTATTCATCATATAGTAATTACAAATATGGGTTTTGAATGCCCGTGTGTTTATATTTTTCCTGTTACGTGATTCAGAAAAAGTAGAGAGGGAGTCTTACTCCATCTTTGCCATTTCCTTTGAATCTAACACAAGTATACAGAGAGGAGATGCTCAGGTGCATATGGCAGAGAGGTTTTTTTCTTTTTGTTTAATATCACATGCATTTAAATACAAGCAGGCAAACTGGAGAATGCTCAGAAGAATATTCCTTCAACTAAAGAGATTTTAAGATCACCACAAAGGAAGTAGTTGGGAGACCTTCAGAATTTTTTTTCTATAATGTATATTTATAAATCCCAGAAATTATTATTTTTTTGTTGCACAATACTGGTCAAAATTGGAAAACTTGTTGGTTTAAAGCATACATTTGAATCTGGTAGAATCTAATCTCTACATATAAATTTTACATATAATACATATAAATATTATTCATATTACATATATAAATTTCCTACAACTGAAAGGAAATTATAAGCTGAAATTCTGTGATTCAATCACATTCAGAGTAAATAGCACATATGGATGTGTACTAAGTATCTGTACTAAGAAGTCCTGGTTTCTAACACACATTGCAATGGTTGACTGTTAAGCAAATTTAAGATACTTCATGATATCAATTATTGTTGTGAAATGACAACAAAACTGAATGAAGCTTTCATATATTACTCCAACACTATTATCATATAATTATATCTCTCAATGTCTTAATTATTCTGCTTTCACCAGTGTATGGTAAAAACATGAAACTGGAGGAGGGCTCTGTCATAAGGTAAGCTATTAGGCCAAGGCTTTGTGTATAAGCAATACTCTATAGCATATAAAAATGTTTCATATCACCTTCAAATAGTGTTTGACCACAGAATTTATCAACTAACTAAAGGAAACAAAGAGAGCAAACATTATTTAAAGTGTAACCTGATAACATATTTAATAAAAGAGGCATATTAATTCTTTTTAAGGAGATATAATTTGATTTTAATAGGGAAGAATAAGTGGGAGGAGACTGCTTCAAAAATAGAATTCTACATTTTTGTCATTCTAATTTATTCGCTTCTCCATTCCAATGTGCTCTTTCTCCTATTTTCTCCTCTCCTCTTCTCTAAATTTATTTTATCAGGTGACTACTATGGGAAAGGCATTTCATTATATACTTGCTATTCAACTTTCAGCCAACACTTCCTGGTGCTAATCTCTATTTGAAGCTAGGGATAATAACTCCTCACTATATGACCTTTCTGGAAATGAGAAATTTTATAAACCACTGACAGATACTACATAAATACTGATTTCAGGCTTGTCTGCTTTCTGGGTCTCATGATTTAGTGGTTCTCTTATTGTTAAAATTAGTGTAAAAATAAGTACTACAGAAATAGTGTTCTTTTACTGAGCAGTATGACATGATGCAAACAAACTATTTTGTATGAGACGTAGTCACTTATCCCATCTTTATTAAAATAATAATTGAGAATCAAATTAGTAAGATCTCTAGAACAGGTTTTGTGATTCATTGATTGACACAGCAAATGTCTTATGAGACCATCAAAACAGTGTGACATATAATCAATAGGTAGAAAACTAATTTTTTCCCAGTAGACATCAACTTTCAGCTATTTAAAGTGTCATGATGTGGGCAATGGGAAGAACTGCTTCTTGCCCTCAAAGCGATGTCTTAAATCTGAAGGATCATCAGTTCAGCTATCAAAAGACAAAGAAATTCTTTATTTTTTTTCTATAAATGAAACAGTAAAAACTTCCCGTGATTACTGCTTCATTTTTATTTACACAGCCTATAAAGGAAATTCTGGAGAAATAAGCTATTGTTGAATGGGAGAGGATACAAATTATCTTTAGAATCATAGCAGTCCTTATTGAAAAACATGAAAGTATATGGCGATCAGTTTTCAAAGTGAGATAAGCCAGGAAAAGTGAGTTAACTTTAGTTTGAGGGAACAAAATTTAGAATAATCTATAAACTTTTCATGAAGCAATTTTGTCAAACCTGATTTGTATGTAAGTTATGAAAAAAAGGTCTTTTTTTCGGTTTTTCCTCTTATGATATCTGGAGGCAAATTTGGCTTAAAGCCTAGAAGACTACAGTGCTAGAATGTTCTTTTAAATACATCTCTGGAAAGCTGTTTCTATGTTTGTGCTGTAGAGCGATTATCTTCCTTGTCTTATTCTCCATGGCTGAATAATAGGGTTATTATTATTATTATTTTTTATCAATGATGTTGAATAATTCAAGTCACTACTAAACTTCATAGTGTCATTTCTCCCAAATATATCTAAATTCACCAGATTTGTCATTTCAAAAAAAGAGTTAGGTCATTAAACTACAAATCATCTGTTCATCTAAATTCTAATTACTCAGTTGTTAATTATGTGTATGAAAGATACATTTTCTTATTGCAGTCAAGAGCTCAGCTTATATAGATTTTTCTTTCTGATTCTTTGTAAGAACAATGAAAATACCCAGCAAAATTCCTGTGCAACTGATACCATTTCTGTTTCTAGGTAGAAGGTGGCATAACACCAATTAGAATTAAATTTCCTAATCTATAATTCAAACAATTTGATTCCTACTCTGGAAGCTATGAAGCCCCTAGTCATGTCAGTAAATTATACAATGATAAAACTAAATGTCATCAGCATCAGTTTATAGTTTGTTGCTTTTTATATGTTTTAATTAAGTAGACAAGGGCACCAGAAAGACAACAGAACAAAATCAGTGAATAATCTTAGGCTTGGTTGATATAATTATGTTAAGAACAGCAAGAAATGTGCATACTGGTATTTTGTTTTTATTGGCTGTCTCAGTCTTCTCAAATATTCCCATTATATTGCTGGCTAGGCTACGCTTCTTGAACACATTGATGTCATTATCATAAATTCTAGCACTATCATTAATTATAGTAAAAAGTACACAATTTATGAGAAAAATTAATAGAAATTTTCAATTTGAATCAATACTCACTCTATTTTGCTAAGATATATATGAAATATAAAGGAGATTTTAATTCTTCAGTACAAATGAGAGAAGCAGCTGGATATTTGCTGAATGACAGGGAAGAAACAACGTGTGACTGCAGTCATACCACAGATAATTCACAAAGTGTTCTACTAAAATCTGCGAATGCATTTTAAACTGCTCAACAGCCTATATTTTTCTCAGTGATCAAATATGGCTTTGGTCAAACTGGTATTTTTAGGAAGGACTGAGTCTTAATTTTCTTTCTCAAAAATTTTACCCAAATTTGCTACTTTCTGGCATACCTTCAAATAATTTTTATTTAGCAACACAGAAACTTAATCTTCATCAGCTCTTATAAATGTGGTCAAGAACACTTAGCTTATAATTCTTTTTTCTGGCCAATTCCAAGCAGCAAAGTACCTGAAAAAATTCATCTTTGTTTTATTCTTGAGTTACAAATTAGGGGTCTGAGGCTCTAGTTCTTACTTATGTAGAAATTTTCTCAGAAGTAGAGGCAGCACTATGTTAATTGGGTGTTTAGGGTTCAGTTCCTTATGCACTTCTTTGATGCTATTTTCACATAATTAGGTATCACGTATATGGCTCTGGCACTCAAAAAGAGTCACTTGCAATTCTCTAAACAATATACTTTAGAAATACTCATTTTTGTGCTATGGGTCCATCAATTGTGAGCACAGTCCTACTACTGTAGATGGTGGCAGAAAACTTCACCTGAAATACCTACCAGCAGGAATCCTGGGGGGCAGAGATCCTCCCCCTGGCACTGGATGCGGGGCCTGGATGCTATTTAAAAACCCTGCCCTCAGGAAGCTGGGGCAAAACGTCTCCACCCCAATGGCTGGGAAGGATCCTTTTAAGAGATAAAAAGTGACATTAATCAAAGTCTTCTATACGGAAAAGTTGTTGTCAATTACTTGGAATGAAATCAACAAAGCTGATAAATCTTACAAAGAAGCTATGAAATTAGAGAAATGGGATGCATTTTTACTTACACATTTATAAAAATCAATGTATATTCTTGAAAAGAAAGCTCCTCTTGCTACAATCAAAGAGGGTTTAGAAGCACTGGAATGCTAAGATAAAAATTCTAAACCTGCATTTAGAACATAGTTGTGCTGTGCAATGACAAAGCGGATATAAATGCAGTCATTGATGTTTATTTGCAGAGTTCACACCCACATGAGAACAGACATGCAGAAAGTAGCCACAGTGGGATGTGAGAACTGTGCTGTGCCAAAAGGAGCAGTAGGGTTTACTTTAGGCTATCAGTACTGCTGTTTAAAACTGGGGAGATGTCTACACAAACAGTAACTGTATACATTTTTGAAACAGGAATAAAAAATTAATGTACACAATTCTTAATTTGTCAGATTTTTCTGATAGGGACAAGACATGAGAGTTTGCAAAGGCAGAACCACATGCGTTTTCATGATTGAGAAGACTATTATGAAATAAGGAAAGTACTTGCAAATGTGTCCATTACATTTATATAATGAATCACAGAATAAATGACTATCAGGACTGGACAACACTTTGGAGATCAGCCAGTCAAAATCTCTCATTTTGCAGAGCAACAACTCTGTCAGCAGAGGGGAAGTGATATGACACAGAAGGTAGACTATGAGGGCACATTCTTCCTGCTAGAGAAGAAAAATAAAGAATGAACCAATTCCTGTTTGGGAGATTGCTAGCTTTTGAATACAAATTGTAAAGCCTGACTAATGTTGAAATTAGGAGCCTCAATGAATTGAAAAATGCCAAAATCACTCAGTTAATATACACAAAATATCCGTGAGTGGGCAGCACTGGTTACTGTTATGGCCAGTCTAAGAGGAAATCACAGTGGTATCCTAAAAGCAAGTTCCACTGATGGCTGTAAGACGTTTCTCATTTGGTCCACCTGGAACTCCCACCAGGCCAAGCAACTCTACATGTCCCATCTGCAGTGAGACTCTCCTCCCACATGTAGATCTGGTGCTCAGGCCCATGTTTGTGAAGAGAATTTATTCTGTATTTTTGGCACAAAATTTCCACCAAATATAAGTTAAAACTTGAGGTTCCTTTGATTGTGAGTTATAATTAAAGGGACCTTGGATGCTATCCTCTGTATTTCTTGCTTCTATTCAGAAAGCCTGAGGTTGTGGCGCCGTAGGTTAATAGGTGGCCTGCGACGCCGGCAGCCCATGTGAGTGCCACTTTCAAGTCCTGGTTGCTCCACTTCCAAATCCAGGTCCCTGCTAATAGCCTGGGAAAGCAGCAGAAGATGGCCCAAGGGCTTGGGTCCCTGTACCCACATGGGATACCCAGATCCAGTTCTAGCCTCCTGGCTTCCACTTGGCCCAGCCTCAGCTGTTATAGCCATTTGGGGAGTGAAGCACCACAGGGAAGGTCTTTGTGTCTCTATCTCCTCCTCTCTATCTGTAACTCTACCTTCCAAATAAATCAGTACATCTTGAAAAAAGAAAGAAAGAAAGGAAGAAAATCTTGGATCTCTTAGCCCTCTAGACATAATTTTACATGATGACAATGCTACAATGTGTATTTTAGTGGGTGATACCCATACATTGTGTTTTGCATTAAAAGAAGCATACAAAGAAAACTGCATACAGATCAACTAGGTTTGTTATTGATCTTAGGGGGCCTTAGTAAACTGGCCCCTTAAATAGCAAGAACTGTGGCAAAAGCACCAAATGTTTGGCCAGAAAGAGTTCTGTGGTAGCTTACAAGGAACAGTGGAGCTAATCTGCCTTCATGAGTGCATGGAATATTTATCATTAACCACAGAGTTAATGTGCACCTGTGTGCAATGTTTCCCACACAAGGCAGTTTCCACATTGCAGTGTTTCATCATTGTCTGGAAAAACACTCATAACGAAGGCATTCCACTGAATACCAGGTGGAGGTAATTATATCATACATTTATACAGCATTCTTATTTAAAGTTACAAAAGAAATGGTGTTGTTACAATAGAGAAAATAATCACAAGAAATACAGATTTTATTATATGCTGTAGAAAACTAAAATAATGCAGTTGTAGCTGATTACGGATTTATTGAAGCTAAGTAGGAGGAAGTATAGATCAAGAATATTAGATCATAAAGAAAATAAGAAAGCCATGTACAGCAAAGAAAAAGAGATATAAATGCAATTACCTTAAAGAAAATTTGAAGAAAAACAGACATATAGAGCAGTGACTCTAAATTATTACATTACTTATTTAAAGATTTTTTCTGGGTTTTCCTATTTTTCCATCATTATTTAAAACTGTTAATTTAGAAAGGATGTCATTATTTTAACTTCTTGAAAGAAACTGAACACAAATATTATTTTATTGCTATGATTATGTTGATGACTGTGTTTACTGTTGTGACAGCCTGTCATGCTTAATAGCAGCTTCCATTTTTCTAAACTTGCTGCATCATTCACACTTGCTTTGTTATGTTTCTTTGCCATGGGTAAACAGGTCTTTCATTTATTGTGGCATCTCTTCATTTAGGAATTGACATTTTTTTTATAGCTGAAAAAATATTAAACAGAAAGCCTTAGGTACCTGAATAAATATTCAGTTGATTATTATTATGGGATAATAATACCTTATCATTTTTCTCCTTAAGGTCCGTCATGACAAGAAAGATCACATCAACACTACAACCCTGATTTTTCACAAGTCGGTTGGGAAAATACCCATTTTTTTTGTTACAAATTTCCTTATCTTTTAATCAATGAGAGATTTAAGATTTGAGATTTGCTAGTAAATAATTTGAATCTAGTTTGCTTCATTGCTCAAGCCGATGACTGACTCTGACTTGATGTTTCTGATTTATGTATTTCAGAGGCAGAGAGATAGAGATATAAAGCTCCAGTCTGCTGGTTTATCCTGAAATGCTCACGATGGTTCCCTGATGGTAATCAAAACTGGGGGCTTGGAACTTAATCCAGATCTCTCAGGTTGGGGCAGGAACCAAATCACTCTGGCTAGCATGCTTACCCTGCAGGGTTTTCATTAGCAGGAAGCTGCATTCCTAAGTCAGAGCTGGGAATAAACCAAAGTATTGGCATCTTAATCATTGTCTTAACCACAAGGCTAAACATCTGCCCCATGGTTTTTGTTTTGTTTTAATAAACAATGTCTTAACTCTATAGCAGGACAAATGGCAATTTCCATGAGTATTTTGTTTTTAATTACATTCAGTGGAATATTTAATGTAAATTAGATTTTAAATGTAATGAGAATGTGCCTCTAGCCATTACATGTTTGATATACAAAATATGTCACTTCACATCTGCTTTGCAAAAATTCTAATACTTGATTTTCTAGTGTGGTAATGATCTCGAGTCTTTCATTAGCACAGTGGTTCTCAGCTTTGACGGTAACTTCTGCTTTAGGGAGCATGATAAATTATGAGAGGAAAGGCGTTACTGGTGTTCAGTGGGTGGAAAGTTGAAGGAGTTGCAATGAGTGGTATATTTCTTGCAAAGAGGATAATTCTTTTCCCAAATGGTAGCAGCACTCACTGAAAAATATTGTACAAAAGTAAAGAATCATAAAATAATGCTGGTTACTAGTGCATATAATGACACCAGTGTTTAAAAAGCCAAGTTGTTATGGCCCAGATTCTGACATCTGGCTTTATTAATTGGTGGGACATTCTGATCACTTATTTGATCTGGAGGTAAGCTAGCCTGCAGAGTAATCAGTTTTCAAATAATTCTCAGAAAATATATTTCATGATTAATCTCCATTGAAGAACACCCTTCTGCCAATTTGTTATTGCAGCAATCTCCCTGAAATAACTTTACTTTGAAATTAGATATCATTAAGAATTTGCATAAACAAAAACAAACTAAACTATGACCTTAAACCCAATTAGGGCTCAATTTCTTAAACTCAATGAAAGTTATAACATGCTGTCTTATAGGGCTGTTTGTGAATATCAAATGGAAAGCAAATAGTCATAAATACAAGCCCATTTTTTTCCTAAAAAAACACTTCAGGTTTCTCTTTTAGGAAATTATTAATGATTAATAAAATTTTCCAATGTAGAACTCCTCCCTACTACATATTTGCACAATCTCCCAATGGAAGAAATCCTTTCTTCAAATAATATGGTATTGGTAATTTAATTTGATGCCATAAAGTTTAATAATAGGGCAATATCAATATAACATGAACTTTTGAGATGATTCCTTCAAATTATTTTCATTAGGCTCCATTTTCATAAATGCCCATTTTGATCAGTGAGTGGGTAATAGATATATTTGCTTAATTAAGACAAATAATTTAGAATTGGAAACAAATATAGGCACAATTATGCATGTTTGAGGTGGTATAGAAAGATTAATTTGCTTATTACTGAATTTGGTCCTTTGTTATAGCCTGGTCAGAGACAAATTTACTTTATTCAATATTTTTCAAAATTGTAGTGGTGGGTATATCAGGAGAATGCATGGAAAATGAGCAAAAGAAAGAAAATATTAGAAATTTGATTTCTTTATCTCATCCTTCAGTAGTTGTCATTTTTTGTATCTTTTGTACATATACATAATATGGCACTTTACTAGTTGATATAAATATACTTATAATACCCCCAGCAGGAATGCTCATACATTTTTATTGTTAAAGTTCTGCCATCAGAGAATTTTAGATATTACTTGTCTAAGCAATGAAACAGTGAGAAAAATGCCAAAGTAAATGATTTGATTCAAGGACTTGATCAATTAGGGCAAGGCCTTGATTTTCCCTGGCCCAGGGAAATGATCCTAAAAGATCAGGTTGCTCTTTACACTGTAGTTCTCAAACTGAGAGATAGATTAGTAAATATACAAGACAGACCCAAGTAAAAAACAGA